GACAGGGGTCATGTGACTGTTCTGACAGAAATTCAAACACATTTGTATTCATACTTAAATAAAATATTTAATTGCTATCTTTAAAGCAGTAATGTCCAAACAAAACCAGAGCAAACCGAAGTAAGTTCCCTTGTGACAACCAACTGTGCACATTGATATTCTCAACAAGGACACTGCTGCAGAAGAGGTTTCCTTTAGCCTATTCTGCCTTCTGTAGGCACCTTCACCAGGGCTGAGAGCCCTGTCACTCCAGAAGACCAATTATACTTAAATACAGATCTACCCGCTGGGTCAGGGAAACATGTCTCCAAAACTTTCCTTATTATCCTCAAGGTCAACATACACTAGTCTCTAAATACAGGATGTCCTGGTTTTATATGAAGTCTGTCCATGGGTGAATTTTAGAAAGGGAAACAATATTCATTCTTCTCTTGTGGGTGCTCATGTGTGGGCTTTTTTTGTGTGGGGTGGCTGACTATTGCTCCTAAATGACTTTATGATGATCTTATGCCAAGTATGAATATGGCACATAGATTTTTTTTCATTAACTTTCTAGGGCTGTCCTTTCTGGAATCACACTGGTTTGCTTGAAAAACATTAAAGAAGAATTGAGAGACTCAGAAATGATAGTATAAGAGGTTAGCTGAGTGACTTTCTCTTCTCTTACGGAAGAAAGTTTAGAAATTCTGAAGAAAGGCTGTATGCATTTCCCTGCAGAGGGGCCAGCGCAAGAATTGTATCTTACTTCATCCATCGGAGTGAAGACCTGTCCCCATTGAAATCAACAGTCAAACTCTTACTGATTCCTTTGCAGCCTGAATTTAACTCTCAGGAGCACATCCTAGTGGTGTGTATGCCCTACCCTTTCCCTCTGCAAAGAGATCAATTTCACCCAAAATGCACTTCCATCTAGTAGTGAAGTTTGGAAACAAAATTTTATCTCCTAATACATTTTGGTTATGTTACAGATTCATTCATAGGGCAAAAGCAAACCAGGGATGACAGCTCATTTTTTTCACATTGAGCCAGACAGTAAGGATACTGTCAGCATCCAGGGCTCCATAACAAGGAGCGTGGCCAGCAGGTCGAGGGAGGTGATTCTCCTCCTCTGCTCTGCTCTTGTGAGACCCCACCTGGAGTACTGTGTCCAGTTCTGGGGTCCTCAGTACAAGAAAGATCTGCTTGAGAGGGTCCAGAAGAGGCCACGAAAATTGTCAGAGGGCTGGAACACCTCTCCTATGAAAAAAGGCTGACAGAGTTGAGGTTGTTTATCCTGGAGAAAGCTCCTGGAAGACCTTATTGCAGCCTTTCAGTAAAGGGGGCTTGTAAGAAAGATGGAGACAGACCTTTTACCAGGTCCTGTAGGGACAGGACAAGGGGCAGTGTTTTTAAACAGAAAGAGGGTAGCTTTACGTTGGACATAAGGAAGAAATTCTTTCCTGTGAGGGTGGTGAGACACTGGCACAGGTTGCCCAGATGGGTTGTGGCTGCCCCCTCCCTGGCAGAGTTCAAGGCCAGGTTGGACGGGGCTTTGAGCACCCTGGTCTGATGGAAGGTGTTCCTGCCCATGGCAGGGGGGTTGGAACTAGATGATCTTTAAGGTCCCTTCCAACCCAAACCATTCTATGGTTCTATGAGATACACATGATAGAAGAAAAGTCCAATACATAATTTAGAGGCTTTTGTAACACATTAAGTTCAGCTGGACTGTGATTTATTCAGAAAATCAGCATAGTATCTGCTAAACAATTAGGTCATGCCTTTTATGCTACTAAACCAGTAATTTCCAATGTAATTTCTCAAAAGTGATGTAAAGATTAGAACACTCAAATATGAGGACAAGCAAATCACTTACATGAACAGCAAATGCATTAACCTAAACAATGACTTTGCTCATGGCACTAAAACATCATAATTAACTAAATAACTTTATCTTCACTCACAGGTAGAGTACAGTATACAATATATTATACTACAGACAATGATTTTTAAGGTTGTTAATTATCACCTTTTAAATAAACAACACACTCTTTCTTTGTCCTGTGCTGTGGGGCTGAACTCTGCTTTCATACATGCTTTGTGGTAGCCTCTGGCCCCCGAAGGCTTAGTGCCACCCTGGGATGCCCAGGCTTCCTGCGAAGACGGGGTGCCTTCTGCACACCCCCAGGGCGGGACACCCGCCGCTGGGCCGAGCAGCTCTCACTGCGCTTGTTGCACAGACTGTACAGTTGCTCTTGACTACACTTTAAGCTACGCTTGATCCCACACACATAAACTCAAAGGTAGATCAGAGAGATAAGAGGCTCATATCTCCTCTATTCACTCATCATGCTGATTCTTCCAAACTCCAGCAAAAAGTTTTGTGAGAAACCACTGCTTTTTGATAACTACATTTTTATGTCTCGAGTGCACACACCACTGTTCCAAGAGCTTTACCAACACTGATTAAATAAGATTGTATAGACCCCAGAAAACAGGGGTGTTCTCAATTTAGTGGCATGATGATAGCTTTCCATGGCTTGCACTGAATATCATTAACAAAATGAGAAATAATGGTTCAGTATCACACAAGGGCCCAAAGCAAAGTTTGGGAAGCTACTATGACATTCGCAACTAAGGGGCAGCAGGAACCTTATGCAATTTCTTCAGCAGAGTTTGTACTTTCATACCTATTATTTAAATTGCACACAGGAAGCAGTATTCAAAGGAAGCAAATGAAATTAGATTTTTTTCAAGGTCACTGGCAGTGCATGGATGAAACACAAACTGCAGAACCAGTTACAAGCATGTATCCAGTTGGACTGTTGTTATTACCAGGGTCAGTGTCTCTGGACAAGCTTCACTTAGGAAAGAAGTCTGAGTAAATACTGTTTTGTTAACAGAGTAACATCTGTTTCAGGTCACATTAAAATTAATAGACGTTTTGCTCTTGAACTCAGTGGAAGAAGAATTGAATCCACTAATCCTGAGCTCTTCAACTCCACTCCACAAAGGAATCTATTTAGTTTCATCAGACCCTTACAGTCTTTGTATTACATTCTCTTGTATCTCTAATTTTTTTCCTTTTTCTCGTATTATTTTTCTAACTGCAGACCACCTGAACAAACACATGACATCATATGACAGAAGAGTGTTGTCCCACATTTTTCCAAAGACATAAGAGTGTTTTTTGTGTTGTCTTGTAAGCTTTGTCCTGGCAGGACACAAGAGGTTACTGCCCTCTATCTTACTGGGCCAAATGAGCATACATGGTCTGTAAGTATACACAAATGATACTGCTTTTGGTACTTCTGAAAAACAAATCTGGAACGCAACCATCAGGCTGGAGAACAGTCTTCCACAGCATAAAATAAACTCAAATGCAGAAATTCAGTAGACCCTCTCTCTTCCACATACTTGTGTGGACCACAGTTCAGACTTGCAGAGGGACATCCACTGATTAATCCAAGTCTCTTAAAACTTCCTCTGCAATCTGCAGTCTCGGAGGATTTGTTCATATAGAACAAGATATTGCTATCTGTACAAGCAGTGAGTCATCAAAGGACTTCTGCTGGGGAACTTGCACAATGTGAAGGAACATACGTGAAGGGGCATGACCTTTCCTGCACCCAAGATTACCTTTAGGCACGCTGAGGTTCAAACCTGTACATCTCAAACAGTATGAGGGCACATATATAGGTATGCAGTCCTGTGAGCTTCTGTAGGATTACCTTTTTATTTGTTGACTTATCTAACAAACTAAATAGAAGAAGGGATCACCAAACTTTTGCATTCTACAGAGGTTCACCAAAGGTGACCTTGAACCCTGCCTTTCAATCCCTGTGAAGAGACAGTTTTCAGATGTTTAACAATCTCGGCATGCTATGTAAATACAGCCTCTTTGAGATATCTCCAGATGACCATCCAAAAAATGAAGCTCTTATTAACTGGCTGAAGATCTTGAGCTATATAACTGTGTGTTTAAAAACTGAGGTAGATTGAAAAAGTTTTAATTAAAAAAAAAAATCTTGAGACTCCATTTGCAAGCAGCTATTCTCCTGGGCAATCTAACTTTATCTCATAATGAAAACAAATATTAAAGGTATGTAAGTGTTGGAAGTCAATCCCAAAGCAGCGTGCAAAGCAAGAGCTGCATGCTGGTATGCTTATACTGATTGAATACAGCCAATTCCCACTAACCTCACGAGCTACAGACCGTCAGGTCAGTCCTGTATATTAAAGCACTTATAACATCAGGCAGATCTTCAGGGGACCTTAAAAGCAGTCATGCACTGGCAGCTACACTCATCAAGCCTGTACTTCAGAAAGTAAACCGATGTTTACATACGTGCTAATGGCCCGAAAGGTGTCACAACAGTTCACTGGGTCGGTCATTTTCAGGGGTCGTCAAAACTTGACCTCCCTAGCCTGGAAGGACTCCACGCTGGCAATCAAACCAGGCTTTTTAAACTGTTACTGGTGAGGGCCCTCGACAGAAACAGTCACCAGTGACTCCCACTATCGCAATACGGCAAAGCACAGTGTGCGTGTGTCTCCGTGTATTGTATCGCCCTCCATGAGGGCGCCTGCCCCTCCCTAGCAGGCCGGTTAAACACTCACGTTGTAGACGCCTGAACCAACGCCTGGACAATTGCTTGAAGTCAGGCTGAGTCCCGCTCTGGACCTGCCCGGGCTCCACCTCACGGAGCATAAACCCTTACCCCGTGTGTCCCCCCCCCCCCCCGCCAGCTCTCCGCCCGCGCCGCCGCTGCCTGCCGCTCAGCGCCCGGGGCCGCCCGCCGGGCTGGGCTCCGCTCCCCGCCGGCGGGAAAAGCCGCCCGCCCGCCCCGCGGCACAGGCACGCGCGGCTCCCTCAGCGCCGGTGCCCCCCGGGGAGCGGCCGCTGCCCCCGCCCGCCCGGGGCGCCGGGGCGAGGGGTGGCGGCCGCCCCCTCAGCAGCCCCGAGGGCGCGGCCCTGCCCGCCCCGCCCCGCCCCGCCGCCACCGCCCCGCCGCCCTTACCGGCGAAGTTCTTGGTGAAGACGAGGGTGACGAGGAGGATGGGGATGAGGACGGTGCCGATGGTGACCACGCGGTCGAAGGGCAGCTCCAGCTTCAGCTGGAGGAGCAGAGCCGCCAGCGCGCCCGCCTTGTCATCCTGCTGCCCCGGCAGGATGAGCTCCTTCAGCTTCTCGCCCGCCAGCAGCGCGGTGGCCATGTCGGGGTGGTTATCGATGATGTGTTGCATAAGCGGCGGCGGCGGGCGGCCTCACGCCGCCGGGCCTCCGCGGGGACGGGCGGCGCGCTGCGGCGGGCTGGCTGCGGGCGGCGCCCGCCCGGCCTGCGGGGACAACACCGACAGCGGTAACGGCGGGGCCGCGGCCGCGCTCCTCTACCGCAGCGGCACCATCTTTGGGCCGGCGGGACGCTGCCCCTGCGGGGCCTGGCCGCCACCCCCGGCCTCCCCCCGCCCGCCCCCCCGCAGCCCCGCGGAGAGCGGTGCGAACGGGCCGGAGGAAGGAGGCGGCCGCAAGCCCGGCAGCGGTGCAGCGGCAGCCGTGCGGGGCGAGGCAGCCCCGCTCTCCCCAGAGCCGTGCAGAGAAATGTCACGAGAGGCGGGGAACGAAAAGAGCTGCCCGGTGACAGCTATGCGGTTAAACGCTGCCCCCGCTTTGCAATCCATGCTGTGCAATAGCGGCGAAGCGGCCATGCAACAAGACAGATTGGAGCTGCCTCCCTTAAAGTGCTGCAGACAAGGAAGAGGGCATTTACCTGGCAACTTCGGTTCCCTCGGTTCCCAGGGGATGGTGAGCAAAACCGATGACTTGTAAATAACAGCGGAAGCCGCAAATAAACTTACACTGGACCTTCCTGCCGGAAAAAGGTCCCTGCACCTCCACAAGTAATAAAATCACTCCGGCTTCGGAGCGGGAGGCGAATGATGTGTTGATGCTTGTTATTGCAGAGGGTGGCTGGCGCTTGCATGGAAATGCCCGCCCGCACCGAGCAGCAGTAACGTGCAGAGCAGTTCAAGAAGGGGCTTGCAGCAGCCGTGGGGAGGAGAAGGAGGAGGAGGAGGAGGCGAGAGCAGCACCGGAATGAATTGCGGGAACACAGAGGTCCTTTAAGGTTTTGAAGCGAGCAGCTGGAGCCTGCGGGGCCGGGAGCGGCAGCCGCAGCAGGGCGGCCGGTGCGGGCACAACACATGCGGGGCTGCAGCGAGCAACACGTTGCGGCGGCGGCCCCGGGCGGCGGCGGCGGCGGCGGCCGCGTCCCCGCAGCAGCCAGCGCGCGGAGCCACCGCGCATGCGCCGGCGCGGATCTGGGGGCGCGCGGGGCCGGGCGGGCGCGGCGGCCGCTGAGGGGAGCGGGGGGCGGAGGAGGAGGATGGCGGGGGGAGGCCCTGGAGGGGACCTGGAGGCAGCGGGGACGGGTGACCCCGGCAAGGAGGAGTCCCGGGCTCCCCTCCCCTCTCCTTCCCCCAGGCCGCCCCGCAGCGCACACAGGCGAGCTCAGGGCCCGGGTACGGCGGCGCCTCCCGCAGCCCGGGGACTGTGAGAAGTGAGGGGGTGGTGGTGAGGGAAAGGGAGACCCTCACCCAGGCAGTCTCTGCCCTGAAGGTCTTCAGCCTGCGGGCTCGTCAGGATTTAGGTGCTCCCGTTAGAAACCCCTCCATCCGCTTGCTGTCTAAAGCTCGTGTGGGGTTAGTCATGCCTGATAAAACAGCCTAAGGGGTAGAGAGCTTGCCAGAAATGCGGAGGACAGCTTTCAGCTTGCCTCAGCCTAATGGGGTTCAGGCCTGTATCTTCACAGAGGTGACCAGACCCTGCTGTCCATCTCTGGAACGGGCTGGGAATGGGGAACATTATCACTCTGGGCAAAAGCTGGACCACACAGCATCAGAGGACATACGTACTGCATCATAGTCAGCAGCTATGGCTTTCAGACAAAGGCTTCAGGTCACAGTTCCTCATTTTCAAGTTGTTTATGGATTTTTATATTTAGCAGTACTTAGATGAAAAACAGATACGCTTAAACAAATACCGCTGACATTTGTCTCAAAGATTTGCAGTTGTCATCTGCAACGCAGCATGAGTAAGGCAGAGATTTTAATCTTTGCCTTGAAATTTCCTTTTCCCCAGTCATTGCAAACAATATAATTGTCCTGCTTGTTATTCAATTTTAAATATTTGGTGCACGCTTTAAATAATACTTCTTGGCAGGGGTCCTTCCATCCAGACAGCTATCTGATGAGCAAGGCAAAAGGGATGTCCTGATGGTGACAACCCTGATGAAGGATCCCAGGCAGCAGACAGAAAGGTGGTGGTACCACAAGCTCCTGAAGAGTACTGAGGATGAGAAGGCAGGAGAGCCTAAACCTTGAAGCTGTCGCCTAAACCTTGAAGCTGTCACCATCACTTGTTTCATTTTCCCTGCTCCCTCCCTCCACAAGCTCTGTGGCTTGTTGTAAGGACCAGCACGTGGTATCTGCCCGATGGGCAGAAGGCAGGGAGAAGAGGAACCATCTTCTCACTCCCTTGTCCAGGTACAGTGGGTTCTTGCGATATAGCGCAGCTGTATCCCAGGCAGGAGAGCAGGCAGAGCAGTGAGGAGCCTGGTGCAGTGAACTTGGGAAGGGAGTATGGCCAGTGTCGTTCCCACTCGTGAGGAGAGGGGGGAACAGTTGCTGGGTTAGACCTCAAGCCTCAACAGTCCTTCCAACCTGCAGTGAGGGATGGGTGCACCAAATTCTCCCGCCATAGCTTTATTTGGGCTATGTGTGTATTTTATCAGCCCCTAATACACAGGCTTTGCACTCCAACAATACAACTGAAACTCCTTATGCAGTTGTTACTGCTGCTGCCAGAGGGATGATATTGAATAAGGTGGACTGACAGCCCGAGGCAGTACAGCTAATCTGCAAAACTTTTGCTCAGACTTTCAACATCATTATCGTTTCACCATGCTTTTCTTTCCTGTTGACAATCTTGTCCTGCTCATTGAGAATGTTGCTGAAAGACCATTTTTCTAATCCTCACTTTGCTATCTCCTTTTTGAATCCTCTCTTTTGCCTGTCCAGTTACTAAATCCAAAACAAGTTGCTTGCTTTTTGTTTTCAGAGGCTTCCTGTGGTATTTCTCCTCCTATCTTCCACTGCCTAAGCCCTAACCACTTGTCTGCTGTCTAGCTGCTGACTGTAGATGCTTCCTCATGTTCTCCCATGAGGAAATAATACCAGTCTCTAGTAATAATTTCTGAGGAAGCTTGGTGTCAACATCTACAAATGTCTAGAACATAGGAGCAGCCATCCTGTGTCTGTCCAGTCCCTTCTTGTATCTCCAAGCGTGGCTGTAACTGGACAATTAAAGAAGCATAAAAATGAGGCAACCTGTGTTGATTCATTTTCCCTAACACTGTCCCAGCTTTGATCTACGTTCAGAGAATTTCCTGAGCTTGTGATGGTGTAATAACCCCCAAAAGGTCTCTTCTCAGAGTATTTTTTCTGGTCTCCTGTTGTGACTGTACAAATTTCTGGCACCTACAGCCTCTCTGTTAAGGAATTCCACAGGCTTACAACCTGTCATATAAAACCCACCTTGTTCTTTTTTCTTTCAAGCCTAATTTAATTTGATGGGCCCTAGTTATGGGAAGGTATTTGGAATAATCCTTCTCCATCTTTTCCATGAGGCATACACTTTTGTAGACATCTATTATATCTTCCCCTTAAATTGTATCTGGTTCCACATTTAATATGCAAGGAGTCTTACTGGCATAGAAAAATAAACATAAATCAGGCACTCTGTTTTTAAAATAAATATGACATCTATGAGTAATTTAAATTTCTCTTGAACCTTGATTCATTATAATACCATTATTCGATTTAATCATATTGATTTTGTAATCTTGCTTGGCAAGATTATGTCTGTATAGCAAGCCAAAGAGACAGTCAAGATGGAACGGTTACTGTCAGACCAAAACATGTGGGTAAACAGAAACCTGTAGTAGGGCAGAGACTGGAACATGGAAAATTACTGTCATAATTTACAGACAAACACCACAGCCAAGTTTCTCAGCAATGACATGCTGGCATGTATGCTGCTGGATAATCTAGACAATAATCAGGCTGTGATAATAACCCTATGCTAATAAATATTTCACGAGTTGCTGGTAGGGTCAGAAATTGATTTACAGATCAAAGTGGAAAGTCATGGGAGTGAATTCTAATTAATTCTAACAAAAGATCAAAAAAGGAGTATTATTTTTAGACATTTTGAATAAATCATTTGGTGTTATCATATTGAATATATTGATTCTTGAAGGTAAAGTGTGTGGCTTTCTAAAATCTTGTTTTCTGAAGTTCTGAAAGCTCAGCATTTTAAAAGCAAATTAATAAAATTGATAGATTGATTGCAAATTCTAACAGGGAGACCCATAGCATCTAGAATTCGCCTTCTAAGCAGAGGGTACACTACCTCTAGATGCAGGGTGAGATTTATCTATTCAAACATGAAGGCATCTGAGCTAGATATTGCAGAGTGCTATTCCTGAATCATGTAGGAGGAGAAATAACTAAATGTAACAGTGCAGTTCATGTGACCAAATGCAGATGTCCTCTTCAAAATGAGATGAATCATTTCCACATCGTAGGTGTCCAGAGTTTACACAGGAATCCCACTCACTGTCTCTTACATTACAGCTTGTCCCAGCCTAGCCATTTCCCCAAGGGCGACTGCGTGCTGTCCTTGTCCCTGTCAGCTCCGTCGCTTTGGAATTGCTGACTTTGAATCTGGTGGGTTTAGGATCAGTCATGCTACCATGCAGTCCCTGGGATGTCTTTACGGAAAAGATTCAGCTTTTCTGATAACATCATCGAGGAGCCGAACGACTGGGAAGCAGCTGTGGGGCATTTCTTGCCTTCAGCTGAGACTGTGACTCTAATCCATGTAGCCTTTACCCCATCAGCCCACCTTGGGACTCACATCACTCATCGAGCAGTGGCGTGGGGACAGCGTGGCCCTCGCGCAGACCAGCTACTCCCATGGTTGCACGGATGCTCTCACTAGGCTAGGTGTGCAGTTAGGGCTGCTACAGCTCTGCAAGTACTGCTCCCTGTCTGCGGGAGCAGCAGTCCTGCCTTTGGTGAGAGCGGTCCTGCCTCTGCAGATGCACCCAGCGAGATGAGGCTATGTGGGGTTGGCAGTGGGAACTGGCAGATGGCAGTGAGCTGTGACAGTGGGTCTTAGCACTGAGGTGAGGGTTTTGGCAGTAAAGTGAAGTGAGATGCCAGATGATAGTGGAAAGTGGCAACTGGCAATGCAGCCTGGCTGTGGCTGCTGGCACTGAGATGAGGCTTTGGCAGTAAGAGGAGGTTTTGTGCTCCTTGTCAAGAAAAAAGTGACTCTCAACAGTAAGATGTGATACTGATGCTGACATTGGTGAAGCTTTTTTTTTGCAGAAATGCATGTCTCCTTGCTAATGGATCTCTTCTGGAATTGTTTAGAATACAATAGACTATTTCAATTGGAAAGGACCTACAACAATTATCTAGCCTGACCAATTCAGGGCTGACCCAAAGTTATTAAGGGATTTGTCCAAATGCCTCTTAAACACCGACGGGCTTGGAACATCAACCACCTCCCTAGGAAGCCTGTTCCGGTGTTTGACCACCCTCTTGGTAAAGAAATGCTTCCTAATGCCCAGGGTAAATCTCCCCTGGCACAGCTCTGAACCATTCCCACACATCCTGTCACTGGGTACCAGGGAGAAGAGCTCAGCACTTCCCTCTCCACTTCCACTCCTCAGGAAGCTGTAGAGAGCGATGAGGTGGCCTCTCAGCTTCCTTTTCTCCAAACTAGATGTGTTGGTTTTGTGTGAATGGTGGGGTTTTTGGTAGCGGGGGAGGGAGCTACAGCGGTGGCCCATGTGAGAAGATTCACAAAGCTCCCCCAGCTCCAAGCCGGACCTGCCTCTGGCCAAGGCCAAGACAGTCAGCAGTGGTGGCTGTGCCTCTTCGAGAGCGTATTTAAGAAGGGGAACCTGTGAAGAGGAGTTGGAGTTGTGAAGACGAGTTGCGACAAGGACACCTATGCAAACACTGAGGTCAGTGGAAGAAAGGAGGAGGAGGAGGGTGGGAGGTTTGCCAGAGCAGAGACCCCTCTGCAGCCCGTGGTGAGAGGGCAGGCCATCCCCTACAGCCCATGGAGGTCCATGGTGGAGCAGATGCCCACCTGCAGCCCATGGAGGACCCCACACTGGAGCAGGTGGCTGTACCTGAAGAAGGTCAGGACT